CAGTCTTCCAGATCCATGATGCTGGCAGTTTGGATGTGACAAAGAGAAAAGGGGTTTCCTTTAAGATAAGAGGAGAAAATTCACTGTCTAAGAAAGGAAATCTTCCAAGCTGGGGTTGCCAGGATTGGTGATAAGAACACGATTTCAATCTGCAAAATTCTGGAAAACAGAAATCTGTGCTGGTTTGACTGTCGCACCTCAAACTGTAAGCTAGAGCCACAGTGCCTTGAATTGAGCTAAGTACGAGAAGTCCCTTCTGCCTTTCTACCTCCAGCACTGCACTCTCTACTTTCATATCGCATGGGGTGAGGGTTGGGGTACAGAGCAGAGAGGGTGGGGGATGGTTGTACAAAGCTAGGGTTGTATGAACAAGCCATATGGAAACCCATTCATTACTTTGCAAGCTAATTAAAAATATAATTAAGGGGCTGGGGAGATGGCTCAGTGGGTAAAGAAACTGCCACATAAGCATCAAGACTCAAGTTCCCATCCCCAGAACTCATGCAAATTCCGGAAGGGTATGAGGCACATCTATAATCCCAGTGTGCAGGAGACAGAAGCAGGGGCTCCCTGGAGCAAGCTGGTTAGTTAATGTCTCAAAAGATTAAGTATTTATAAAAAGGAAAATTCCCAGAAAATTGGATTTTTGTGTGTGTGTGTGTAAGGGAGTGGATGAAAAGAAATCATGTTGTGAATTAGAAAGAATTATCTTTCCAGGCTGAACCCTCATTGCCGCCCCTGCTAAATTCTCCGGCTTTTGACTGGGATCTTTGTTTCATGTTCAGTCTAGAAGAGCTCCACCATTCAAACTACAGAGACTGTATGACACACACACACCAAAGCAAGGGACCGTGCCTGCATCATCGTAGTCTCCTGGCGGATGAGAACGACTGCCTCGTACCTGGGCTTGGGTGTCAGAGCCCACCTTCCAGTAAAGGGGTCAGCTGAGCTTGTGTCCCCTCTCATGCTTCATCACTAACTTGGACTTGGACACGAGGTAAGGCAGCCTCTCCCAGTGTGTCACATGCATATTCAATCTGCAAGACAGGGACACGAAGGCGCTGAAAGGAAGGGCCATTTCCCCCTTTTAGGTCCATCACTGGCCTGGATTTAAGAGGATTTCAAATGCACAATATGACATTCCAGTCAACAAGAATATGGGAAACTTCCTTCATCTTGCCCACTCGCATGATGGGAAACTCGATGTGTCTGATCCAAATGCCTGATGGGAAACTTCATTCATCTTGAACAAATATATGATGGGAAACTTGATCATCTAGTCCACATGTATGGTGGGATGCTTCCTTCACCCAGCTTCTATGCATGGTGGGAAACTGCATACATTGCCCAAATGTATGATGGGATATGATTTATCTAGTTCACTCATGGTAGGACACTGCGTCTAGTACAAGTGCATGATGGGAACCTTCATTCATTCATCTAGACAGCATACATTGTGAGACATTTCAGTCAGAGCTATACATTAGGCCTTACCTAACCAGTCTATAACTATGTCTTCCAAAGTAGGACAGCTAATGAAAGCCATGAGAGTGAAGGCTATCAGAAACACACAGACAGCTACCTTCTGAAATTCCCCCACTCTGCTCTGTGCACCCACAAACCACCTGACAACACCACTAATGGCCTGTGAATGTGAGGAAGACCACACAGATACAGTCATTTGTGCACTTTGTCAGAGATGGACATATCTCAGGCCTGGATGGTTAGAATGGATCATAGATATTGGCCTACAGAATGCAGGGTAGGCTGTAAGAGGAAGTGCATCGCACCCTCATGCCCACTATGACCTTTGGATCTCAGGACCTCAGTCTTTCATCTGCCCAAAATACCCCTGTCCTCCCCTGTGAAGCAGACAGCCAAGTAAGCTGTACCCTATTCAACTTCAATCAGGCCACATTAGCAGTGAGGACCCCGTGCTGGTTACAAGTCACACAGGGCCGCAGGGCCTTAGGATTGAGAGGAGTTCATTGGAAGCCAGTCTGGAGACCAGAGGAAAGAGACTCTGCCAGCTCTCAATTCCTGGATCTAGAAAGATGCACAGGGCATGGAAGAAAGACAGATGCTGCACCTGTACAGACCAGCCCTTGAACTTAAAGGGTTTGCCTCCCAGGGGCTGGAAACTTCTAAAGAAAATCTAGCTGGAAAGTCAACATGAGGGAAACCATAAATTGTGATGCAAATTTTTTCCTCACTGGGACAAGATATCTGTAAATTCTGGGAAGCTATTTAAAGGTGATTCTGTGTTGCTAAGCACTTGGGGTTGGAGAGCTGAAGCCACAGTTGGGGCTCTAGTCAGGTGTCTAGCAGGGCTGTTCCTCAGTGTCCACTCCAATGTCCCCAGGAAAATGTGATGAGTTGATTTGTGTGACAGGCATGGTCCCAGGGTCCCAGGAGCCTCTGTGTCTCCTGCTCCCAAACTCCCCATTGTATCTGGTAAAAATATTCCTGGGCTACATCCATGTGAGAATTCATTTCCACAGACGCATAGAGGCATGTGCTAGCTCTCTCTGGGAACTGGTTTAAGGCAGGAAGGGAACAGAGATCTTGTCTTGGGAGATCATTCTCAGCACAAATTCCTGCGGTTCCCCAGGCCTTTCCCGGGGTTCACTGGTGTCCCTGTGTCCTGAAGCAAGGGACTCTCTGAGGTGGATAAACCCAGTCAGTGAATCTGCTAGGATCCTTCCTCGACTGAACATGTAGGCATTTCATCTCCAAAGGAAGGAGATATGGAGCAGCGCATTATTGAAGATATTGTTCCTGCAGAAGTTCCCAAGAAGATACTACCTCAGATAACCAGCTGCACCAATCCACACCAGACCATTAGACCTGCAGACCACAAAAATAAGACGGGCATTTAACAGTAGAAGCCAGCAGGCGCGAGCTGATGTTCAACCAATGTATGTACTTAACATGTGGATTTAAGGCTTAGGCTAGACAAACACTCCTCTTTGGCCTTTATATAGACCACCTTCTTGGATTCCATTGCAGTCTGATGGCAGCCGTGAGTATCATCCCATTTATAGACAAGAACTCTGGAGCTCAGAGCAGGTATGAGCAGGCCACCCAAGGTTACAGAGGGAAGAGGTGAAGCAGCATTGGCTATTTTCCACTAGGGAGTGGACACACTTAAGCTCCTATCCCGTACAACACCACTTGATCTAAGGGCATTGCTGGTGCTGACCCCCTGATGCGGCACCACTTTCTATTATCTAAAACCCCACGCCCACTCATGGATCCTTCTAATCCCCACACCTCGGACAATGCTCACTTTGAACCATATCAACCCACAGCAGCGACCCAGAAATACATAGTTCATGAGAGGAGAGCACTTCTAAGTTGAAGGTAATATCATATATCAGGAGCACACCACCAGATAAACACCAACTGCTGAGAGACAATTAGCCCAAGGTATGATTTCACCGGAAATAGAAATGCTTGGTTGAAGACTCAGTAGCACAGCTGGCAAAAGCTTAGCCCCTTGTGGAGCCTCTGTGTTCATGGGCAGCAGTGACTCTAGCCAGAAGGTTGTTTAGGCTCACCCCACACTCCGCAGCCAGTACTGGAAAACCCCATCCAGCCTGGGGTGCCCCCCACCATCCAGATGGGATGAGGAGACCTACATTCTAACTCAACTCACTTATGCCAGTGATTTGAGTTTTACTTCACTAAACAAAAACTATGTTAAAACCTTTTCCTCGTTACCTTTGTTTCTTACTGTTCCCCACCACAAGGATAGGCAGACACTAACCACCTCACACAGCATGATCCAAGAATGAATGTTATCACCATCTGTTAAGTTTGGTTGTCTCTTAGATGGACCCTCTTAGGAGACACTCTAACTGCTACTCTGCTCTACGCTATCCCTTTTGTTGCTCAAAACAGTTAGAGAGCTCTGCACTCCCAAAACTCCTAAAAACAGTCCGTGTGACCTCTAAAAATGGGGTTCCTGGGGCATCCACCTTAACCCTCTCTTGCCACTCTGAACATTTTTTTTAGGACACCCAACAAAAACAGATGGGCCAAGGCTTCTGTGCCTCACTTAGACTCTGCCTCCCCAGATCTCAGAGAGCCTTAGAAACTTCAGATCAGCTTAACATCCTTCAAGACTAACTTGAATCTTTGGCTGTGGCATTACTCCGAAATTAAAGACTAGCTCTGACTACTGCCAAGGAAGAGATCTGTGACCTCATCTAGAAACAATGCCGCTTCCACACCCACAAATCCATACTGGTTTGAAAGAGGGCCCCAAGATGCAGGGACCAGACAAAAAATTCAAGCACAAGCCTCCTCCTGTGGATGAGCTTTTGGTTCCCTCCCATTATGGCTCCTCCCCTTGGTCACGCCCTTCTTCCTTATTGTTCTCAGACTGGACGTGGAAGGAAAATGTCCTCCTAGCATTTTTTACATTTACTTGTGCTTCCTTAGCTTCATACACTTCCAACACTTCCTCCCTTACATGGCCCTCTTAGGCTGCCCTTCCAGCTCTAACTTTTCCGAGTGAAACATCCTTTTTTTTTTACTAGCTGCAAGTCCTTTATCTTCCCCTGCTCCCCCAACCATGATCCTTCTATGGACTGTACTCTGACCTCTTCCCCCTTAATCTCTGTACAGGAGAGCTGGGTGCCCACCTTAAAAAGAACTCACCAGCTCATGAAAGCAGTCAACTCTACTCATCCAGCTGCTAGGTCTGTCTATCCACTGAGGTCCAGCATTCCTTAGATGTCCCTGCCCCCTCCCAGGACCTTTGCCCATAACAGACCTCTCAAGATGGCCCCACTGTCCTCAGCCTCTTACCATCCCCACTGTTTTCCAAATCTCACATGACAAACTACTGCTCTCTCCCAACTTGCCAACTCTATAGTATCTTGCCTGTTCTGATCCGCCTGACCCATCCCTGCCAGAGACGCACAGCCTTTTCAGACACGAGACAAATCCTTCCCTCACCCTATAACTGGGATCTCCCATCTGTTTACACCCACCCCCTCTCACCCTGCCTCTCTAGATTCCTCTCCCCCCTTCGCCCTTTCTGGGTAATCTCTCAGTTTCAGTCTGTAAACAAATCATCCATTTTCAGCACTCTAACGATTATTTTGTGAAGTTTCTTTAGAAATGTACGATGGCAATTATGCCCTCCCCTCCAGCTGATCAAGTTCAAACTCTTCTGCTATACGAAATTAATCCAACCTATGCCCCCTGGAGATGCTGGGGAGAGAGTCTAGTCCTCCCCTTCACTGCCCCCCTTCTATAGGAAGTAGTCAAAGAGAGATTACGTCGTCCCTTCTTATTATCTGACCTGTGTCCGAAAGGAATGGTTAATTAGCTGAAAGCCTCAGGGGATTAAGAAGCTCCGGAAGGAAAGCTGACTTGATGGCTAACACCTGTGGACGTTCCTGATCAGGCAAACCACACACTGAATCAACCCATCGGAAGCTACCACGTACAGTCTGCTGGAGAACTAGTATGCAGACGGACTTTTCTATCCCCAAAGTTCCCCCCTTTTCTATCCTATAAAACCACAAGACACACACACACACACACACACACTGCATGCCCTGTGAGTACGGTGTCACTTCCATGGAGAGACTGTGGCACTTTGCTTGTTCTCATTAAAGAACACTTCCACTACCTTGGTATCCCCACTGCAATAGAAGCTTCACCTTTTGCAAAGGCCTTTCAGGGACGCTCTGTAAAGACCCTACCAAGGTGCCAAACCCAAAATTCTTTCCACAACATTTTCAATATTAAAGCTTTCATGCCTCCCAAACCAGTACCATTTGGGCAACTCTTACACACTTCCAAGTTTGGCTGCCAACTTTAGATGTAGCCTTAGTCCTCTTCAGCCACAGATTCTACGTGCCAGCCCTGAAGAAACAAGTTCCTCTTCACAGATTTCGGCTCAGTAATGCTGAGCTCTTCTTAATCACAGCTAATAACCACATAGAGATTCTTAAGCCAAAATATCACACAAACAGCCAGCATAGAATCTTTGTTTCCCTCTGAAACGTCACAAATCAGGCCTCTGTTGTCTGAATTTATTTCAGTATTCTTACCTTTCAAGTACCCACAGTACAGCCTATTACGTTCTGAGTATTTGTTAGTTTTTCCAGTTACAAGTGTTCCAATTCAAAGATCCAAAGACTTCCACAGTCCTCCCACAAAGCAGCATGGCCAGGTCCATCACATGAATACCCCACTCCTGGTACCTACTTATTTTTTTTACTTTCCTTCCTGTTGCTGTGATAAAACACTCTGGCCAAAAGCAATCTGGGGAGAAAAGGATTTGTATAGCTTAGACTATCAGGGGAGGAGCTGAAACACCACACACATTGGGCGGGGTATTCCCACATTGAGTATCAATAGAGACAGCCCAATCTGATGGGTGCAGTTCTTCAGCTGAAATTCCCCTTGTCCTAGGTGACTCTGGTTTGCGCCAAGGTGAAAACACTGACCACTAATACAAAGGGGTTCTGGCTTCCAGAGTTGAAGCTTCTACCTCTTCTCTTGTCTATGTTCAGGTAACAGAGGAGGCCAGACACTGGTCTCCCAGGAGAGAAGTCAATGATCCAAGAGTGTGTTTTCTCCCTTGTCTTTGGCCTAAACATCCCAACAGATTCCCTAGAGCTTGCGGCTCAAGGAATGTGCAGTTTCTGGCATTAGTTGCTTGAGTTTAGAGTTGGCGTCCCGTCATTTCCAATCCTAGGCAGTTTGAGCAGAATGGCTATGAAATTTTTATCAGAGAAATCATCTCTTTTTCAGAGGCAAATTTCATTGGTGTTACTAACTCTACGTTTATAGGTCTTTAATTTATAAAGATCCCCGAAGGATTTCTGTCGTGCTCATTTTAAAAATTTCACCATAGACTCATTCTTCTTTGATGTGCAGTCAGGAGAGTCAAGACTATGCCGAGGCCATTCTCGCTCTAACAAAAGTGCATGGCTGGGTCCACTGTGGGGACAGCCAGGAGGGACAGTAGCGCCATCCAACAGAACCCAAGGCTATCTGTGTTCCTAGCATTAGCTAAAGGATGCTCACATGGGAGCCCCGAGGCTTGGGGCAGAGAGGAAGGAAGGCAGTGCAGAAAAACCCAACACACAGGGAGACAGCAGCCTGACTCCAGCAAAGAGAAGGCAAATGCTAAAGAGAGCCTGGGCTCTGTAACAATGGTGTGTGGCTGTGGGAAGAATTGCCATAAAATGGATCCAGGGCTGAGTTTGTGCTCAAGATTGTATTTGTTATCACAGCTCATTACACACAGACTTCACTTGGTCGCAAATGATGTGTCTGGTACCATCTCTCACAGGGACACCTCCAGGAACCCAGTGTTCACTGTCCAGGCCCTGCATGCATGTAAGACAAATGAAAGAACTGGATTTGCCTTCGTGGTGCTCTAAAAACCTAGGGAAACAGTGGGACCCGCAAATAGCTGTTGTCCTGCTGATTCCAAGTGGATGTCTCAGCCAGTGGCCTCACCATTCATGTCGCAGTGGTCAAGGCCAACTGTGGTCCTGGGGGCCTTTCTTGCTCTCCCTGTTTCCTGTAGTTCTCAGAACTCTCCACTCTGTTCCTATGGAGAGAGCTGTATGCTAACTCCACAGCCCATACGGTGAGAGGACCATCTCTCTCCTTCCAAAAAGTGGCCTGTGACATATTACACTATCAATATAGACCACTTTACAAGTTCTGGGCCATTAGAATGGCTGTGTCACTGCAGCGTGCAAGCATTAGCATCTATCAGAACAATGAGTCACTGATGCATGCCCAGGCATCCTGAGGCCCCAATGTGACAAATGCTGCAGAAATTATCCACAGGCACTTCCATTCAAGCAGTGACAGCTGCACTTGGAGCACTGCATGGCTCCAATGGGCCTAAGTCTGAAAAAAATGTCATCCTCTTTCACAGCATGGGTTTTGTTGGAATGCTACACCCTCACCTGGTAAATGTAGAACTCACAAGAGCAACCTCAGTGTTACTGTGGCTCCAAGAAGCTAGCAGGGCTTTCATTAGGAAGGAGGACATTCTGGACAGGTCTTGAGCATACAGAGCCTTTCCCCAAGTGAGCCTTACTGAGAACTGTCATAGTGACCACTCAGGACAGCATTCAGTTCCTGCAACTGTGACATGACTATTCCCATAGACTTGCCCTTGATGTCCTCCTGGCCTTTTCTGTAGACAGTTTCAGTGCAGAGAAGGTTCACCTTCTAGAACAGAGCCCTCTAGAGGTCAAAAGAGATGCCCTGAGGTTCACGTAAGTCTTAGAGTGGCTACTCTCCCACTCCAATCCTAAATCTCCAGCCAACACCTTTACTCTGTTGACAGAGGTGACTTGGACTGGGCCCTTGTAGCTGCATAATTCTTGACAGGTGGTCACCTGTGCCCAGACCTTTCCCCAAATCCAAGTTTTTATTTCTCTCTGAATAAGCCAGGGGGAAGGAAGAACCACCAAAGACTGCTAAACCTATAAACAGAACCAAAGATAGCCCTGGGATGGCACTGGAAAATTCCCATGTTCCTAGTCAGTAAATTTGACCACAAGAACAACACGAGTCACTACTATCACAAGCATTGTTCTGGGTCACATATATGCCCTGGGAATTGTTGGTTTTTTTGTTTTGTTTTTGTTTTATAATGCACAGACACACTGACTCAGAAAGATCATTGTGTTCAGAGAACCCACACTGTGTAGCCCTTGACCCAGGACACACAGAACTATAACTCTCAGCCACTCCTATTGGACAATGTCTCATGCCACAGTTTTGTTGGCTCGTTGAGGGAAAGGTTTAAGAAGAGAACTAAAGAGCTTCAGCCTACTAAATTTGCTTCTTCGTGGCCCTGTGAGCCATGACTGATAGCGAGGTCCACAGAAGTGATAGGAAGCATGGTGTTACCATTAGAATCACCAGTTAGGGCTGAAGAACAGAGGCTCGGCAACATAAGCGTACCAACCTCACAGGTGCATCATCCCACCACGTGCATAGGAAAGGTGGACACAGGCATTCCCCATCTGTCAACAAATGATGGTTTCAAGGACACCATCTAAGAACACAGTGCCTCATGCCTGCTGACATCACATTTCTCTGTCTGCTTCAGACCAAGGGTGCATTCTAACACACTGGAATGAGTCACCATCTCATTCCAGTAAGCAAAGGAGCACAGGGAGGGGTTGGTCGCTCCCCACCCCCATGACACAACAGCACAAAGGTGCTCACTTCAACCTCAGCATGACCTGCTGTACAGAATGTAGAAGGAGGAATTCATATCAACACACAGTCATGAACAGTATCCAGTGCTCCCAGGACCATGTATGGAAGGATGCTCTGGTTAGTCGGAGGATGAACCTAAGTGTTCTTGACCATGAGATGCATTGCTCCATTTGAGTCCTTGCTTTACATCATCTTAATGAGATGAAGTGCCTTGAAGGATACATGTCTCAGAAAGGTGCACCCTAAAACCCACAGGAAGCTCCTTTTAAGACCCTCTGGTCTCATCATTGCTTCGATCAGTGGGTCTCTAGGTTGGGTCAGGCACAGGTGCCCACCTTCCAAACTGATAGCCTAACCCAGAAATTGGTGGGGCTTCGAAGTCTTTCTTCAGAACCATTGAAACTAGACTTAAGGCCATGGCAATCAGCATGCAGAAGAAGTGGGCTCTCTGCTCTGCAGAGCACTGAAGCCCGTTCTCATTAGGCCACCAACTGCAGGAAGTGGAAATAATCAATGCAGCAGCTGGCATGTGCGCGAGGGTGGGGGCAGCCCGCAAATGCATTTCCAAGCTATTCAAGGTAAATTAGCCACATAGTAAATATATGTAATCAAAAATAATTATAGTTTAGAAGTTTAAAAGCCCGGGCAACAAAAACTAGGTTCATTTTAAACAAAGAGAAATCCTGAGCTTGCCTGGGGCAGATGGACAGATAAAGTGTTGTATTTTCATGTTTGTGTAGAACTTTAGGGAGAACAAAGCCTCCAGCTTCCAAATCAGGATACAGAAGCCAAACAAA